AAAAAAAAAAAAAAAAGAGAACTTTATAGGGAAAGAGATCGAAAAGATCATATTATAAAAGAAAAGAGACAGAGAGAGAGAGAGAGAGAGAGTTAATTGAGAGGATAATAGCGATCGCGTATCAAGGGATCGCCGGTGAAGAGAAAATGGCCTCGAGCTCCACGCGGTGCTGTTCGATGAATATCCTGTCAAGTGCTGCGCTCCTCGCGTTCCTCGTCGTTGCTAGCGCGGAGAAGGCAAGCTACGCGAAGCCGCCTCCGTGTCAGAGGTAAGTGCACCACCTACAAAGCTAAAACACGTGTAAAAAGTCGCCTGTACGCGTATTTCGAAGCCGAGAACCGGCCAGGGCGCCGCTCTTCGCTCGTCGCGTTTCTTTTTTCCACCTTTCTCTCCTCTTTCACGCCTCGTGCCCTGTCACGCGTCCCTCTCGTCCCATTTTTTCCTCGCGCGACGTTTTTTTCCTCCGCGTTTCAATCTACTTCTCATTGATTGAACCTCGAGCATTGTGCGTGGCCCCGCGTGATACAGTGGCCTAGGAAGTGGCATTTTCTGCGAACCAAGGCAACCTTTCAGAACTTGGAGACATGTGCATTGCATCTCGTAACTAGACTACGGATGCCTGCGTCTATATTTGTATTCTCGTACACGTAACTAAAATAGTAGAACCATCTCTAGCATGTGTATTACAACTGATACTGCGTTACATGTTATTTGCATTCTGTGCACTAATCTTCTCATAAGTGTATAAAGGTTCGCGTTATGCTTGTAACTGTGTAAAGTTATCCTAAAAAAAGTTTTATCCCTTACGCAGGTACGAAGCACGCGATATGACACGATAAAATCTGATAAAAGGTTAAACTACTTCTTGTTTGTACCTTTATCTGATTTTTGTATAATTTTTTTTTACATTCTGTTGACTGTAGCTTAGGCTATATTCTGTTATAGTTGTGAAATTAGTTTTCTACCATTTTTCGTTTTACAGTGAATATAATCTTCACTGGAGAAGAAAAA